TTTATACATATATATATAAATTGAATTTTGGGAAACTTTAATGGTGCTGCCAACTTTGGAAAAAGTAATCCCAATTTACTGTGTCGACTTGGCATTGTATAGAAATGGACAGCCATATTGGTCTAGAAATGTTAAATTATTTTTATTTTTATTTTTTATTTTTTTATTTTTTTCCATGTGTACATGGGTAGTGCACTGTATTGAATATGTAAGGTCATATCTACGTGGGTTTGATTACAGAAACAAATAAAGTATTCTCTAAATAATGACACAAAGAATAAGAAGACTATAAGTAGTTTCTTTGGTGTGAAAAACTATAATAGTACACAGGATCCTAATGAGATAATTAATAATGTGAAATAGGAAGTAAAGGGCTAAAGGTGTAGGGAAAGTGGGAAGGGTGGGGGAAAGGTAATAAGGGAGAGGAAAAAAATATGAGAAACTGAAAAATGGAAATAAAGTGTTTGTAAATGGGGAGGGGAGGAGGAGGTGAAGGGAGGGCAGGGACAAGGGGAAAAAACGAGAACCAAGACCTATCATGTAAAGGTACAGAATCCCAATGATGAATGTAACTGTATTGTATACCTAGATTGTACCAATAAACTCAATTAAAAGAAAAAAAAATTGACTGAAATTTAGGAATCAATCTAACAGAGGAAGTAAAAGACCTATACATTGAAAAGTACAGCACTCAGAAAAATGAGATTGAAGGGGATATCAGAAAATGGAAAGACTGCTGCCTGCCTCACAAGCACAAGGTCCCAAGTCCAATCCCTGATACAAGAAAGAAAGAAAGACAGAATGAAAGAAAATGGAAAGATATCCCCCTGTTCTTGAATAAGCAGAACCAATATAGTGAAAAATGGTCATACTTACAAATCTGTTTTATAGATTTAAATCAATCCCATCAAAATTCCAACAGCATACCTCCCAGAATTAGCAAAAACACTCCTAAAATTCATATAGAACCGGAATAGACCTAGAAGAACAAAAGCAATTCTGGGTAGCAAGGGCAAGGCAGAGGGCATCACAATCTCTGATTTGAAGTTATACTACAAAGCTACCATGATAAAAAGTAGCATGGTACTGACAAAAAACAGATCTGAGGATCAATGGAACATAATAAAAGATGCAAAAATAACTCCACAACTCAGCCACCTTATCTTTAACAAAGGAGCTAAACACCTTCACTGGAAGAAAGATAGCCTCTTTAATAAATGGTGCTAGATAAAACTGGTTTTCCATATGCCAAAGACTGAACCTAGACCCATATCTTTCTCCACATACTAAACTAAAGTCAAAATGAATCAAAGATCTAAATATTAAAACAGAAACACTTAATCTGCGGGAAGATAGAATAGGTAAGGGCTGGGGCTTTAGTTCAGTGGCTCTGTGCCTGCCTCGCAAGCACAAGGTTCAATCCCTAGTACCACACACACACACAAAAAAAAGAGAATAGTTAGAACTCTTAGAGACACTGGACACTGGTGTAGGCAAGTACTTCATGGACAAAACCTTGATCACACAGGAAATATTACAAAGAGTCAACAACTGGGATCACAGCAAATTAAAAAGCTTTTGCATAGCAAAAGAAACCATAAATAGGTCCAGGGAGTTAGCTCAGTGTTTCTGGTGCCTGCCTCGCAAGCACAAGGACCAGAGTTCAATCCCTGGTACCAAAAAAAAAGGAAAAAAGAAAAGAAACCATAAATAGAGTGGAGACAACCCAAACAATGGGAAAAATTTTTTCCAGCTGTTCAAAGGACTAATATCTAGAATATATAAAGAACTAAAAAAAAAAAAATGAGACCCCCCCCCAAATTTAAAGATGTAGACCAAAAATGGGCATCTGAAATGAACAGACACTTCTCAGATGAAGAAATAGAAATGGCAAATCAATATATGAAAAAATGTTTAACATCACCAGAATTCAAGAAATGTGAATTAAAACAATACTGAGATTCCATTTCACTCCAGAAAGAATGGCTGTTATCAAGAAATCAACCAATAACAAATGCTATCAAGGCTGTGGGGGAAAAGGTACCCCTCTTCATTGTTGGTGGGAGTGTAGACTGGTACAACCACTGTGGAAATCAGCATAGAGATTCCTCAAAAAACTAAAACTTGTGCTCGCCTTGGCAGCACATATAGTAAAATTGGAACGATACGGAGATTAGCATGGCCCCTGTGGAAGGATGACAAGCAAATTCGTGAAGTGTTCCACATTTATGGCCCCAGTTTAAGTTTAGAAATCACCAGTTTCAGTAATAGCTGAACCTGTTCCAAATGTTAATAAAGGTTTTGTTGCATACTAAAACAAACAAACAAACAACTAAAACTAGAGGTTCCATTTGACCCAAGATACCTTATCCTCCTAGGTATCTTCTAGAAAGGGTTTAAAGCACCATACTACAGTGATATATGCACATCTATGTTTATAGCAGCACAATTTATAATAGCTACATCTTGGGAACAACCCATATGCCCATCAACAGATGAATGAATAAGTAAAATGTGGTATTTATATACAATGGAGCACTACTCTGCCATAAATAGGGGGACACTTGAGTCATTTGAAGGAAAATGGATGCACCTGGAGGCCATAATCTTGAGTGAAATAAATCAGACACTCAGGTTTAAATATCACACGGTTTCTCTTGTGTGAGAAATCCCAAAGGTTAAAAAGGAACATAATGGAGGATAGGTAGAGGGAAGTTGGAAGAACATATTCAAATGGGAAGGGGAGCAAGGGATCAGGGAGGAGGAAAGGAAAAGGAAGAAAAGAGAATAGAAGGAAAAGATGGAAACAAAGCTTTTGTAAATGGGGAGAGGAAGAAGTGTTGAAAGGAGAGGACAGGAATGGAAAAAAACGATTTATCATGTACAGGCACAAATTCCCTATGTTGAATGTGATCGATATGCATGACAAATATGCACTAATTAAAAAAAAAGATTGGCCAGGCATGGTGGCACACGCCTGTAATCCCAGCACTTGGGAGGCTGAGGCAGGAGGATCGTAGTGAGTTCGAGAGCAGCATGGGCTACATAGTGAGTTCCAGATCAGTCTCAACTACATAGTGAAACCCTCTCTCAACCCCCACCCCCCCAAAAAAGATTGAGTGCTACGAGTACAGAGTTTTTTTGTTTTTGTTTTCACGGTACTGGGGATTGAACCCAGGGCCTTCACACTGACCTATATCCTCATCACTTTTTTAATTTTTATTTTTATTTTTATTTTGAGACAGAGTCTCACCAAGTTGCCTGGGCTGGCATTGAACTTGTGATCCTCAGTCTCCAGAGTAGCTGAGATTGAGGCATGCACCAGGATACCTGGCCCTTTTTCTTTTCTTTAATGTTTAAAGTAAGAAGATAAGGTGTTAAACCAGTACTTGGACATATGAAGCCAAGTGTATAAGTAACAGAGAAAGCCATGCTTTGCCTATTTAGTGATCTGCTAAAGAAAATAGAATTAAAGAAAAAAAAATTTTAATTTAAAAAATGAAATAAAAAAATAAAGAAAATAGAATTAAATGTCAGTGAAGTCCAAACTGTGGAAAAGATAATGAGTGAACCTCTGAGTATTTCCCAACAGTCTGTTATTCGAGGACTTTAAAAAAAGTGTCTCCCAGGGCACCAAAAGAACTTGGAGCTATAATCACTATTTACCTTAATGTGTAAGGCCACAGCAGTGCTACCTGGCAAGTGCAAGGTCCTGAGTTCGATTCCTTCTACTGGGAAAAAAAAAATTTAGCCTAATCTGTGAGACATTTTGGAGAATTTGAGGGAAGGAGAGAAGTTCTGACAGATACAGATTTATTGAAGGTGGCGTGGGTGGGGTGAAAAGGAAAGGTATCTTTCCAGAAGTCGTCATGAAGTGGAACCGATTTCCAAGACTGTTTTCTCTGTAAGGCAGAGACCGCCTCTGCTCACTTACACCTGCATCCTCTGCCAGGGCCCAGCCCAGCACAGGCCACAGATGAGTGTGGACAGATGTGCACTGTGAAAGGCATGGAAATAAGGATGAAAAACGGATTCTTAACAGCAACAAACCTTAAAAGTTTGGATTTTCTGGAGGGAGGGTTTTTTTTATTGTGAATTTTTATTTTGGTTAAATGCTTTTTTTGTGTAGTTCCCCCTTTATTAACACGGTGAATTATATTAACCGATTTTCAAATGTTAAAATCAATTTTGTATTTCTAGGATATGCCCACTCTGAGATATTGTATATTATTGTTTTTGCATATTGCTAAATTTAATTTGCTGAAAATTTGTTAACAATGAGCCCATCTGAGCCTAAGGGAAGATTTTAATGCCAAATCTAGTTTGTTTAATTGATATAGGACTATTAAGATATTGTACTTCATCTTGAACCAGTGTGGTTACTTGTGTTTTTCAAGGAATTTGTCCATTTCATCTTAATTGTTAAATTTTTATTTATATGAAGTTTTTCCTTTTCTTGTCGTCCATTTAATATCTGTAAGTACTATAGCGATGTCATATCTTTTATTTGGACCAAAAATAAAACCTTGGGCTAGGTGTGGTGGTCCATGCTTGTCATCCCAGAACTTGAAAGGCTGAGGCAGGGAGCATCACTGTGAGTTTGAGGCCAGCCTGGACTACATAGCAAGACCCTGTCTCAAGAAAAGAAAACAAAACATAAAAACCTTGGGGTAAGAGTTATAGTTTGTAATTCTAGACAGTGTCCACACATTGCCAGGGGTAGCTACTTCCTCCCTCCATCGCCAATCTTGGAGGATCAGTCTCAGGTTTAATTAGGGCTGTGGGGAAGAAAGATTCCAAAAACAACAAATAGCAAAATCAGTGTTGACCTTGGGGAAATTCCAGAAGAGGTTTGTGAACAACAGGAAAAAACATGGTGACCTGAGAGCAGTCACTTTTTCATTAACAATTGTGGTTTATATCTAGATGTCCCCCAAAGCCGTGTACGCTCACAGGTGGGGCTTGTGGGAGCTGATTAGGTCATGGGGCATAATACTCTTCAGTGGATTAGTCTACTGGCAAGTTTATAGCTAAATGTGATTTGGGAGGTGAAGCCTGTTTGGAGTCAGGCAGGCCTGGTGTGGCCTGGAAGGGTCTGTCTCCCTCCCTCCTACCTGGATCTCTTTCTACTTCCTGCTGCTATGCCATGAGCTCTTTCCTCTGTCATGCTGCCCTACCTTGGAGCCAGCTGACCATGGACTGAAACCTTTACCGACTGTGAGCCAAAATAAAATTTCCTCCTTACAATTGTGGATGTTGGGTATTGTGTCTCAGTGTAGAGAAAATAAGACACTTTCTGTCATGGTATCTGTGTCTAGTACTTAGCAAGGACTACTTTGTACCAAGCACTGGGCTAAGAGCATAGACAGAACAGTGGCGAGAAAAACAGTTTTGCCCCCTCCCCTTACCGTGTAGCAAGGGAGAAAGATAGTCACCAAACCACTGCATACACAAGTACTTAACTAACAGCAAATTTGATAAGGGCTAGACAGGACAGGTCCAGATGGGGAAGGATTATCACAGGGAAAACTAGTCTAGATCTGGGCGCAGAAGCAGGGAGGAGATTGGTCTAAGGAAACCCTCTAAGAGGTGCTCGTATTTAATTTAGCAGTGGGACCCACTTGGGAGGCTGAAGTAGAATTACTGATTGTTCAAGACCAGCCTGGGCTACATAGTGAGTTCAAGACTGGCCTGAGGGCCGGGGATTTAGCTCAGTGGTTTGGTGGCCTGCCTTGCAAGTGCAAGGACCCAAGTTCAAGCCCCGGTACCAAAAAAAAAAAAAAAAAAAAAAAAAAGACTGGCCTGAACTATATAGTGAGACTCTGTCTCAAAAAAGCAAAGAAATAAATAAAAAGCAATATATAGCCAGGTGTGGTGGTACATGCCTGTAACTCCAGCACTCTGCAAGGCTGAGACAGGAAGATCCCAAGTTTGAGCCTATCCAAGGAAACTTAGCAAGACTGTCTCAAAATAAAAAATAAGTAAAGGATAGCTCAGTGCAAAATACCTGGGTTCAATTTCCAGCATCTCTCTCTCTCTCTCTCTCTCTCTCTCTCTCTCTCACACACACAAGAAATATAATAATAAATGCAGATTTATTATTACAATAAATAAACGTGTTGTGATAAGATTATGTAAGCATTTTGATAACATGTAAATACGGTCTCCACCTAATACAGACATATAATAATAGAAAACATAGGAACTGGGGGTGTAGCTCAGTAGAAGAGTACCTGCTGCACATGCATGAGTCCCTGAGTTCCGTCTCCAGCACCAAAACAAAACTATGACGATATTAATTTTAAAATGTCAACCAACATAAAAGTTGATTTTAAAATGGATAGGAAATGTTAGCAATCTTTAGTATTTAAAAGTCAGCTTGGGGGGTGGTGGTGCTAGGATTGAACATGATAAGTATCCCTTTACCACTGCGCCTTAAGGGTTAGCATTCTTAAAATGAAAAATTTATACATACAAAGTGCTAATCGCCCTGTCTAGTAGTCTTAAGTTTTGTTTCATGACGGATGTTTCTTTCATTTGCATCAACATCAGTCAAATTTCTATAAATATACCTAAAAGTACCTGAAGTTGGACGTTAGAGTAGTTGCTTCATACAAGCTCATTTCTTTTTGTAAATATTCTAATTTGGATTTCATTGTTGAAACTGATATTACTTTTTCAATCCAGGTTTTAGATCAGTTTCTGATTTCATGTCAAAGTATTTTACAACAGCACTCTCATCGCCTCTCTTTGCATTTGTTTGTTAAAGTAATACAAACGACTGTAACCCCCGGAGGATACTCAAACACTTAAAGAAAGCCAACATTGGGTTGTAGTCGAATGATGTCATGTTTGAATTTCCTGGCACTACACAGAATCCCACACTGAAATTGCTAATTTAGACACTTACTTTGCCTCCAACACTTATTTGTTGGCTCACCATTCATTAGATTTATGTACAATAAACTGTGCATATAAACTCATTACTGTTTATTTTTAAGGAATGGTGCCATTAATTAGCAGCAGGCAGAACCACGAGTAGACATTTGGGGCTTGGTGGTGAGGGTAATGGACATGGATGGGCTCGTGCCTCTCAAGATTTGACAGTACAATTTCTAGCTTCAGTGCAGTCCATAGTCTTTGCACTGACCCCATGACTGTGTTGCAAGACACAGGTAAGTATTAGAAATTAAGAGGGGCCAAGGATGTAATTTGCTAGCAGGCACATGACCCTGGGTTCTATCCCCAGCATCACTAAAGAAAAAAAAAAAAAAGAGCTGGATGTGGTGGCGCACACCTGTAATCCCAGCACTTTGGAGACTGAGGCAGAAGGATCACTGTGAGTTCAAGGCTGGCCTGGGCTACATAGTGAGTTTGAGGCCAGCCCGAACTACATAGCAGGACCCTGTCTCAAAAAACAAAACAAGAAGAGAAAAGAAAAGAAGAAAGGAAGAATGGGGGATAGGAACAAAGCAAATGAAATTAGATAGTTGGGGTGGATGAGGACTCTCGGGAATGTGTGAGCAATAGATGGGGGAAACAAAAGCAAGGGCCTCAAAACAATGAGACTGACCCACCCCAGAAGCATTAGTGGGATTTCATCAACTAACTTCCTGTTATCACTGGGTAACTTTCTGTTGTCACTGGGAAACCAGTGGGACTTTCTCCTCCAAGATGAACCAGGCCCATACTCAGCACTTTCACTTGTTCCCCGGAGGCTGCGGCTATGAGTAGTCTGCACTTGGCTGCTTCGGGTTGGAGGGACCAGGTTAAAACAGTGGGAACGCATCTCAGCTCACACAGATTAGGTGCTTATGGGGTCTCACGCGGGTCAGTTGATCTGGCTCGGTTTCGTGTTAGCGTTCTGTCTTCTGTGTTATTTCATTCCTTAAGCAGGCCAAGTCTTTCTTTTTTATTAGTACATTTTAGCAGTACGTAATAATTACATTCATCATGGGGAGCTGGTACATGTTTTTGTAAGCTGAGGTGTTTGGTGAAGTTCCTCCTTTGCCATTTACCCTGATTTCACACCCATAGTTCAAGGAGCTACTCTTACTCCTTTGATCACTAGAGCTGCCAGGTCCCTTTTCGTCTTGGCTACTGGCTTCATGTAGAAAATACTCCTCTCCTTACATGCACATCCAAATGTGCCGATTAAATAAGTAAGTGCACATCCATACAATGGATTACTATGGAGCCTCTGTGGAGAATAACGTGGATCCATTATACACTGATGGGGTAAATTCCATGATATATTACTAGGTTACCAAAGGAGGAACTTGCAATGTAGCTCAGAGGTAGAACGTGTGCTTAGCATGTGACAAGCCCTGTGCTCAATCTCCAACACCTCCCTCAATAAGTACGTCACCAGACAGCATTCATAGTGACATGACTGCGCACGCGTGTGTGTTTATGTGTGTGTGTGTGTGTGTGTGCATCCATGTGTAAAAGAACATGTGTGTTATAGTTGCACAGAAATAGTTCTGGAGCATACTAAACTCTTGACTTCAGGTATAGTATCATCTATATGACAGGAATGAAATAGTAATTTTCACTTTTTATTTTGATTCTAAATTATTTTAATTTGCATGTATTACTTTTGCAATTTGAAACAATAACTTAAAGCCCCAAAACTTTCCTCTTCTTGGGTTCACTTGAACCTGAAGTTGGTGGTTCTAAAGAAAATTCTCAAATTTTCCTTTTTTCTGTTCTTGACTGAGAGGCTGAATGGGTCACCACTCTGTGCCAGAAAAGGCAGAGTTAGACCTGAAAGACAGCATTTTTGTCTTTGAAGAACTTCAAAGTTTAAAGGGGTAAGATAAGAAGCCACAGAACAAGCAATTACAGTGCAGCATGATAAATAACTCGAGCTGTCTCTGGGTGCTTGCAGATTGGAAGGATGAACAAAACCATCTTTCCAGAGATTACAGAGGTGGTCAGGGAAGGCCTCCAAGGAAGTAATAATTGAACATAATCTCTATTTTCTCTTTTACTTTATTATAAAAATTCTCAAACACACAAAAAAGCTTCTCACTATCTAGATTATGCAATTGCTAACATTTTTGTCATCATCACTTAATAGATAATACAAATATTAGCTGAGCATAGTGGGGCATTCCTGTAATCCCAGCACTCAGGAGGCTGAGTCAGGAGGATTACTGTGGGTTTGAAGCCAGCTTGAGCTACAGAGTGAGTCCAGGGCCAGCCTGGACAACATAGCAAGACCCTACCCCCCAAAATAAAAATATTAACCAGGGCCAGGGATTTCACTCAGTGGTTCTGCCTCACAAGCACAAGAACACAAGTTCGATCCCCGATACCAAAAAATAATAATAATCCATTTGAAAGTTCACCCCTAAATGTTAAAGTATATACCTCCTGAGAATGACATTCTTTTAGATTACCACAGTGTTTTTATCACAAAAAAACTAATGTTGATCCCTTTAATCATGTGACAGCTAATCTATATGAAAATTATCCACATTTTCCCAGAACATCTCCCACAACACACACACGCCAGACAGGTAATACGCTGACATGGAAGCTTTGAAGGAGATACCTCTCTCACGATAGCAGGGAAACTCAACCAGCCTGCTTATGAACCACAAAAGGACCCCTAGATATCATTCATAGGTTGTTTTCTCACGGTCTGGGGCCAAGTTCACACTCTGCACATTACTGCGGTTTGTAGTAGGTGAACTTGGTCATGCTGGAACTGTTTCCCAGAATCCCCTCCCCTGAATGGTTTCAGGTTAGAGATCTGGAAGGCAGAAATGAGGCAGCAAGTATTATTCCCTGAAGGTCATCGTGGTTAGATGTTGTACAGAAGTGTGAGTGAGTCTGTCCCGTGCTCTGATCAGTATTCAGAACTCTTTCCATCTACCGCCACCGGTAGTCCCAGACCTACCACGGGTGCTCAGTTTTGGACCCACGGAGGAGACAGCCACACGGACCCTCAGGAGCCTTCTCGTCACAGTCCCCGGTAGTGTGCCTCACTTCCCCCACTGGTGGCGCCTTGTCCATCCCCTGACTGCTGTCCTGGTCCACTTCCCCAGCTCCTTCCACGATTATGTAAGGGATTATCCTACAATCAATTCCTTTTCTCATCAATCGGAGCGGCTTTGCTTCCCTGACAATACATGCATCAATACTGGCTACAGTTTCAGAGATACGCTCTTTTTTTTTTTTTTTTTTTTAACCCCAGGAAGTTACATCCCCAACACTTTTTAAAATTTTTATTTTGAGCCAGCCTTGTTAAACTGTCCAGGTTGAACTCTAACTTGCAGTCCTCCGGCCTCAGTCTCCTAAGTAGTTAGGTTTGCAGGCGTGTGTCACACCTGGCTAGGCACAGACTTTTAAGGAGGAGAATCAGTTTTGTCTTCCAAATCTGACTGATTTAAAAAGCATTCATGATTACTGCCATTCATCAAAAGTTACTTAACTGCTCGCCTGTAGTCCCCTGTGATAAATGCTCATAGAAGGCAAGTCTTTGGGTAAACAAATATTTGCTGCCATAGGACATTTTGGTAGAAATAGTAATGCATTGAGGAATGTTAGTTACTGCTAATTAGAAAGAAAGTTTGGAGAAAGAAAATGAGCTCAGGGCTTTAAATTCCCATTTCAAAGTCAGAGAAAAGGGACCAAACACCTAAATTACTGCCCTAAAAGAAACTCTTCTTAGCTCTTGTACCTTGAAGGTCAAGATTTCTAATAACCAACCCCCTAAGTCTCCATTTGCTGGAGACTGAATTTCAATGCAAATTGAATTTATAACTTGGCAGGGTCTCTTATGTTAAAAAATAAGATATTGGGAAAGAATGAGATGCGGATTCTTGGGAGGGGACACCTTGTGGATATATCCCAATGACACTGAAGACCTCAAACTCTAAATTCTGTGGATCCTCCTTCACTGAGAAAGTGACCCTACCTCTACATCTCTAGTTCATCTTCCCTTACCTGCAGAACCTGTAATGACCTCCCTGAAGGTAGTGCCTTGTAGGGCACAGTTGATCTTCCTGAAACCTAAAACCACCTCTTTAATATCAAGTCACTGCAGGCCCCAGCATCGCCCATGAGGAAGTACCATACACACCAGAGCAAATTGAAAGTTTGTCAATTTGGACATTGTTTCACTTTTTGTTCTGACATAATAAATAGCACAAATGGCTGAGGATGTATCTCATTTGTAGAGCACTTGCTTAGCAAACTGGAGGCTCTGGGTTCAATCCCTAGCTCTGGAGAAAGCAACAGCAATGATTCTCTTTACCCTTGTCCAGATCCCTGAAATGTCAATTTATATTGACAAAAACTCAGTGAGTCTATGTAAGAATGGATCCTAAAGGTGTTAGATGAAGAATAAAGGAATATAATTTCAGATTTGGCTGAATTATTTATAAGTGTTTTTAATACTTTTATATGTTACAATGTTTTGGCATCTCAAAAAACTTTTCTGAAGCCAGGCATGGTGGTAAACGTCTGTAATCCCAGTACTCGGGAGGCTGAGGCAGGAGGATCGCTGTGAGTTAGAGATGAGCCTGGGCTGCATAATGAGTTCCAGGTCAGCCTCAACTCTCAACTACATAGTGAGACCCTGTCTCAAAAAAAAAAAAAAAAAAAAAACTTTTCTGGAGCTGAGTGTAATCCTAGCACTTGAGAGGCTGAGGCAGGAGGAACACCATGAGTTCAAGACTAGCCTAGGCTACATACTGAGTTCAAGGCCAGTCTGAACTACATAGTGAGATCCTGACTCAAACAGCCAAAACCGAAACCAAAGCCAAAACCAAAACAACAAAATAAAAAAACTTTGGAATAGGGGGCGACTGTCCCTCCTTACTTTAGTCAGTTCTTAGAGATGACAAAGGGCCCAGCTCACTCATGTCTTTGATATGCACCCTAACCAGATCAGAGCCAGATGGCCTCTCTCTGATCCCTGCACCCTCAAATGCCTCTATTTATCCCAGTCATGTACCAGCTAACTAGGAATCACACCTATAGACCAAAGTCACTGAAATTATTCAAACAAGCCAGTCCTAAACCGTAGACCCTGTCCTTGCCTTTGTAGAAACCCCAATAAAGGCCTACACCTTCCCCTCACTCCTGTTTCTGCCACCTAATCACCCTGATATCTTTCCTTTGTGACCCTGCACGGGATGCCCTGCCTCCTGCCTGTAGCACCCTGTGCACAGGTACAATAAATTTTGTTTTCCTGGACCTCTTCTCTGTTTCCTCTTATGGCTACATGTGACTGATTTTCTCATCAAAGAAAGCAAAACAGGTGCACTAAGCAGAGATTCTGGATTGAATATATTCGCTCAGGAAGGTAGGGAAGAACTCTAACAATCTGCTGTTGAGCCCCAAAATGGCTCGTACTGAATGAACCTGAGCTGTCAGAACTCCCAGTACAGAAGAGGAAGGTATCCAGAATGCTAGAAGGAATTTATAAAGTGTAACCAGCTAACTGTATTCTCCGGTATGGTCCAGGGGATGCTCCCCTCACAGGGTTTTGAGAAATGCATTGGTGGGAACACAGTATCTTGAAGAGCTCTGTGGTGGCTTGAAGCTAAAGCATGGAGTGAGGAATGCAATCATCAAAATGGGCTCGCTGATGGCTGGGAATTTAGCTCAGTGGTACTGCACCTGCCTTGCAAGTGCAAGGTCCTGAGTCAATTCCCTGGTACCGCCAAAAAAAAAAAAAAAAAAAAAAAATGGCTCACTGAATTAATGCAGTGGGAATGATGGAATATTAGGGGGCCAGGAGCCAAGTGCTGACACTTAGAAACAAGACAGAGTTAGCATGGATACTGTAAATGGACAGCAGAGCCAGAGCGGGCATCAAGTGCTTTGGCCTACAGAGCTCTGGCTTTAACTCAGCAACCGGAGTATCTCAAGGACCAAAATAGATAGGTAGCTTACTAGGGCTGTGCTTGGTTTATACCAGTGGAAGAGCTCTAGTGGTGAACAGAAGTCTGACTCTGACAATGGACAGTAAGAGCCCTTTGATAAATTTTAACATGGGAGACACTTCACAAGCCCCAGGGTCCATTTGAGGAAGGACTTGCTATACGGCCAAAATGTTGTGCTCTAAATCTTCCTCCAAGCCTTTTTGCAGAGAGATTTGCTGTCATCACACAGAGTTACTGTGCACTGGGAAAGGAAAGTAACCAGATTTCCAGGAATTGTTGAAGGTTGGCTCTGAATTGATACTAACTCCTAGAGAACCAAATTGCCACTGTGTACTGCATTCAGAGTGGGGTTTATGGAAGTCAGATGGTCTACATGGTTTTAGCTTGACTTCATCTCACACCTACCCAATGGTTCCCAGAACCCATTGTATCTATTGTATCTATTTCTACACCTCCAGAATCCATATTACACTTTAAATATACTCAGTAGGGGCTACAGTTTTAATATGGTTTGTCCCCTGGAATTCATGTTGAAACTTAATTCTCACTGTGAGGTATTAAAGAGGGTGAAAATTTAATCCCCCTGTGGTGTTTAGAGGTAAGGCCTTTGGGAGGTGATTAGGATTAGATAAAGTCATTAAGGTGAGCCCTCATGATTAAATCCTACTGGCTTTATAAAAGAGGGAAAACAGAAGAGACACAACTACATGGGGGGTGCTTCTTCTCTTGGCTGTGACATTCTACACCATGCTGAGACTCTACCAGAAAAAAAAAATCACTAGATGAGGTTCCTCAACCTTGAACCTCCAGAATCGTAAGCCAAAAGAAACTTCTTACTTTATAAAGTAGTCTGCCTCTGGTATTTCACTGTAGCACCGAAAGTCAGACTAATATAGTAGGTATCTTGAGTAGATACACTCAACATTTGGTAGACCCCCACACACACTGATTCTCTGATCATGGAATGAAGACAACTGGATTCACTGTTTCTGCAGATGGTCTATTGTAACACCACAGTCAGTCAGGTAGCATCTGGGAAACCCCACAGTTTCCTAAGAATGACTCAAAAGTTCATTTTAACAGTATTAGAATAATTCTGATTTCACACACCTTCTGAAAGGGACTTGGGGAGCTCTGGGAGTCTCAGACCCCACTTTGGGCATCTTTTTTTTTTCTTCCAGCATTATGCCACAGGACTCTATTACCTGGTAGGACAAAAATGAGCAATGCTGATCAATGTTGCAGATGATACAAAGCTGCAAAGGGAATTATTACACAAAGTGGTGAATACAAATTTTCAGTGGAGTAAAATAAAATTTTATATGGACCATCCTGAAATTTTGTTTTGTTTTATTTTTACTCAGTTGCACGTGTACTGCAGACTAGGAAGAACTGGCCTGGTAGCAGTTTGTATGAAAAAGATTGGTGGTTTAGATCAACCACAAGCTAAATCTGAACCAACAGCTTATGCCATAATGTGAAGCAACATCAGCAGACATGTAATCAGTGAGGCTGGGCAGACAAGCAGGGTTAGCTGGAGGAGATGTGGAGGGCTTACTTATATTATCTTTGCTCTAGGCCCTACTTCAATACCCATAACATTCAGAGGAGTAGATAAGACACATCTATTTATACTCTGCTAATGAATTGATTTGATTTGTTTGTTTGTGGATGGAGACAGAGCCTTGTTCTGTGGCCTAGGCTGGCCTTGA